ATTATTTGATAAATTTCTTGATCCTGGCCCTCCTTACTGGCTGGAGAATTATCAATCGTTACCTGATCTTTTAATAAACCAACAATATCACCCAATACCCGCTTTACTTCTTTTCGAATTGATTCAAGATTCTCTTTGAAAGCCGTCTTCGAGAGATTGATTTGATATTCACTCTCACTGGTGCAATACAACCCATTCATAGTAAAAACGAGAAAATGCCAATCCATACCCGTGGATACAATTCCGTAGAGGTAGTCGTAGTTGTTATTTCCAAAAGCCTGATTCGCAGTTCATTTTTTCTTATTCGTGTAGTATGTGTTCTCAAGTTGCATAATATTTTGGAGATAATCAATCTTAATATTACATGGTTTACCTTCGGCAATGCACATGAGATTCTTCTTTCCCTTGATCGCATAATCAACACGGTCAGATGCTTCTTCACTGGAAACATCCTTTTGCAGAAATATATGAAGTTTTTCTTCTTTGGTGATTCTTCGAACAATGGCAAGTGACACATATAGGATGGACGAAATAAATTCACAGCGAGTGGCCTCATTGGCATCAGTCATCGTTTCGATATTCGTTAGTATTAGTATTATGTCTACTATACAGTGTTTGAACGCTTCGTCATTATCATCGATTTTTATGGAATCTATAAACAGAATTGTTATATCTGGAAATTTTTCTAATCGTGCCCTTGGGGAACGGTTTTTGCCAAGAAATTTGCGAGACCACCCGGTCCCTGAAAAATACCAAGAAAAAATATCACATATCTGGAATGAATTGTTTGATGTTCATTATATCCTCACCATTAACTTTATATTTGTGGAACACGTTCTTTAACTTTTCCAAGGTTTTATATGAAGAAAAGCTATGTAATTTTTGTTCTAGACCCTTGATAAATTTTGCAAGTCTTGTTGCAGAACCCAAAGCAAAACCAATACCACGAAAGTTCTCCTTGATTAATTCAAGAAAGTCGAAACCTGCAACCTTTTGTTTACGAAGAATTGATAAATCATTATTATCGAGGTTCAAGTCTTCCTGCCTTAACAAATAGTCGATAAGTTCTTCTGTCTTGTAATTTTTGATAACATCTCCCATCGTGCGAGTAAACCTTTCTTCTGTCAAAGTAGAGGATGTAGAAACTGGCGATGAAGGTGGAGGTGAAGACATTGTTTATATTAGTGGACGGTTTAAAAATTCTGGTTTATGTTGGTTTATGTATTTGGCCAAGTGGAGCTAAATAATGCAAGGGAAGAGAATGAAAAATTTTTTCGTTTATTTTTAAGATCAGTGGCTTTTTATAGTATATAGATTATGCAACTCATATAGATTGGCAAGTACACGATGATTCCTGGAGATTGCGGAGATTACGACTTCCCAAGACATAAGTCCTTTGATATATGCACTAATGGAGAATAACGGTCTGACCTCCCTTAATGCCTTTTCGAGGTTTGTTCTTATCGTGGAACATGTTTAATAAAGATTTTTTTTCCGAACTAAATAGATAATCTATGTTGTACTAACTTCTACGTCGATCATACCCCTACACTGGGTACTGGATCCGAAAAACTACTGGCTAGTTATGCATATATATTTCGTAAAAAAAAGTACATCAAAAATTCTTGGAACTACGGGTCATTATCAATCCACCTTTTAAACAAGTCTAATGAATTTTTCGGTTGATAGAATGTAACCTCATGGCCAGATCTGTACACCTTGACAAACCATAATTGACCAAAGCTACGAATTTGACCTGCCCATTCGTCGTCAACCTTCCAGTGCTTGACCAGGGCGGCGTTAAATTCGGTTTGACCTTTCCACACAAGCTGGTTAGCTACATCAAGACCCCCAAACCTTATATAGGAGGAAGTATAGGGATTATGGGTTATCTTTTAAGAAAGGCCATTAAATAAAAATACATGAATGATTTACCAATTGCAGATGTAGTCGGCATCACCATGATAAAGCATAATGCGAACATTATTCTCAAGAAGATATTCTACGTGAGGTTTATACGTGAGAATACTATCAAAATGAAATACATCATAACATATGAATCGATATTACTATTTATAATAAAAAAAACTCCAAGAAAAAAAAAGACAAATTCGATACATACATATCCCCAGCTTCATAAAAATCATAATAAACCTTAGTATCTGCAGCTATACAATCAGCAAATTCCCTGCCAATAAAAGATCCTGCACCGATTGACTCCAAAACCTCGGAATTATTCACAAAATGGGCATAGTCCGAATTTGGACGGGTAGCATTGGGGCGAATATCGAAAGAATCTACACCGAAATCGTCAAGGATAGTGACAACTTGGAAGCATTGGTCAGTTGCATCCTTGAGATCTCTGACAGATTTGCTTTTTTTAACTAAGAGAAAAGTAAAGTAGAAAGTCGAACAATCGTTCGGTAGAGCGTGGAAGTTTAAGAATCACGAGATTGTAAAATATCAACGTACTCATATCTTGACATTTGTGAAAAATGCTCCCCATTTCACGGATTAGTGTAGTGTTTAATAATGGCTGATCTGTGAAATTAAAGAGTAGCAGGTGAGAATCACTCAAAAAAAAGTTGTAAATTCATTGACCTACATGAATTGTACTTTGCGAAATACACGTCAGAAATGCTATACTTAAATCATCAATGCGTTAAATGAATAATATTCACATTAACAAGTTAACAAATGGAACAATGAACTTACAATTGAATTTCAGGATCAATCCAGCCGTTGCCTAATCATTTTTATATATATTTGAAGTCATTTTCAATTCTCAGAAAAGGAGTGTTCTGTAGCAATCCCAACTCACCTAATCCAACTGACTTAAGATTTATTTTCGTGTTATTCTGAGTAAGGTTATTTAACTCGACAATCTTTTTGGCAATTGAAGGTGCTAGATTAAGTATAGATGAATATTTATTTGGTTTCACGGGAATAAAACTCGAAATTTTTTATGCCAGTTTACCATAATGTCCAGTGTAAGATTCCCCAAAGATATGAAAATCCAAAGCGGCGTACTCTGGAAACCTTGTAAAGAACATTTGCAAAAACACGTATAAATCTTCAGTAGCTTGTTCAGTCGTATTCACGACGCGTGACCCATATGATAATCCTACACCAATTGGCTTTGTGAAACGTGAAATTAGAAATGATAAGTTAATAAAATAATTGTTTCTTTGATTAAAAAAATAAATCTAAAATCCCTGTACTTGATCAACAAACAGCATATTAGAAATCTCGTTCCAACTATAAACGTTGTTGATAATTTCCGAACCATTTTTAATCGCTTTGCAAGGCCCGACTTCTTCAAGTACTCCCTCTAGCGAGCTACATCCTGGACCACCATTTAGCCATAATGTTAAAGGAGATTCCTTAGGATTATTGCGGGACTCGAAAAACCAAAAGAACATATTATTGTCTGGAGCGATTTCTATGTAACCGGAATACTGGATTATTAAGAAAGAGAGCATGTGTGTTTAAATTCAAGTGAAAATAACGTGTACTATTAGAGTAGGCAAATACCTGCTTCACATTATTATCACATAAATTGCTAGAAACTATGTTAGCTTTAAGAAAATTTACACGAAATAAGTAGAATGTAAACGTAAAAACGAATCAAATATTCTTAAGAACTTTAGACCCACTCTTACTTGAGTTTCCCAATGTTGCGTAGAAAAATAACGCTTGAGCGCATATCATGAAAAAGGTTACAGTTTTGTATAGAGGAAGAAAATGCCTGGGAAGCGTGACAGGATTTTTTAACTCCATTGCGTTGTTATTGTAATTTTGTCGGTTTAATTATATTAATGCGTTGGGGAAAAATTATTGCGCGTACAAAGCATAAAAAGCGAATCTCTTAGATCTAAAGATCTCGATAAAAGAAACGATAAAAAAGATCACTCGTTCAGCCCGATCTTTTATATCTTCTTTTAATTCTGTTATTCGCATTCAATGCTAACTATTTAGTGGCTGGAAGCTTAGTCGACTTGAAGATTTTTGTGGCCAACCGGTTTGAGAATTTGAAGTGGCTAAGCTATAATTATTGCCATCTTTAGGATAGATAGATAATTCGGGTGTAGTAAAGATCTCAATAATTATTTCAAACGATGTTGATCAAAAACCGTTTTCAATTAGCATTAACATTTATTAGAATTTAAAATATTACATGTATTAACAAGTTTAATTAGAAATCTGCGTAAGTTTATTTACGCGGCAAAATTCAGTAAATAATGCGCAAAATTGCGGCGGATTAATGTATTATGCGGTAATGTTGCTGTTCAAAACTCCATCGAAACTAGTTTAGCCATAATGGCGAAACTTCGAAACTAGTTTAGAAATGTCGAAACTCTCTTCCAAAGAGTTTAGACAAGCAACTCTATTATGCGGCAAATACGTTTAGTTAATTATTTATATATTACATATAGAATAATTACCTAGTTAACAATATAATTTTCATCATATTCACTTAACTAATCTCGTACTATGCTATAACTCATATTTGTTACTTTGATTTTTTCTGAATATTTTAACTATTTACTCAATTATTACATAACATGTTGAACTTTAGTAATACCAAAATTAATAAACAAATTGATGAATATAAGAAAAGCTAGTTACAAATGAAATGTATGGTGATAATTTTGATATTTTATCCACGTGTGGATCTATTGCTAGATGAATAATAATTCATATTCAAGATGCAAGTTCCGTTCTGAATAAGGAATTAGAGCCTTTACCACCTTTACCACCTTTACCATATAAAGATCTTCTTAAGTTAATAGAGTTATTTTATATCATGTATAAAAAAAATTTCGAAACATGTGGTCTATTCGATATTGATATTGATTAACGATAGGGCCTTTGTTATATCTCCTATTCCCACTTAATCTCTAATGCTTTATCAGTAAGATCATCTATTTCTTCTTCCAATAAACGGAATTTTTCCTCAAGTTTATCAAGCTTTTCATATATCCTTTTAGTATTGGGATAATGTGATTTTTTTTACTTTAGTTGATGTCATTTTTTGTAATATATATTATTATTTAGATAAAAAAAAATTATAAAGAAATATAAGGAAAGAAGTATCTCAACTTAGGCAAGTAAGTTGATCTACTATTGATATTGAGGATTTAACTCTAGCTTCATCATTCTTTTTTCAGCTTCTTCATGAGACATTCCTTTATCAATCATTTTCTTATATGCAATAATACGCCAATCTCCAAAGGCTAATGTAGTAATTCCATCTGATAAAATCCATCTCTTAGTATCTAAAGGGATAATACCAATTTTAGATGAATGAAGAAGTCTAATAATATGATCTTTACTTTCCAATCTATGCATTGTTATCATAGTTTTTTTTCGAGATTTTAAACAATTTTCATACATATCATGAGAAAGATTCTTTTTGACTACTATCTTTTGTATTCCTTAGCTCTTTGATCTGTTTTTCCATCAGCAAGAATATAACTGTAGAGCTTGGATCTTGGTCCATAAAATTTCACATAGCAATACCACAACTTTCATCCTTGTGCTTACCAGGAACTTTCTTATTTAACTCAATTTTTTCTTTTCTAAGAGCTAGATATACAGGATGATCTGGTTTATAATCACTAAAATCAAAATGTTCATACATCTCTATTATATAATTATATACATTCTCAGTTCAAATAAGTAGAATAAGTGAATCAGTATCAGTATATACCAACATTAAATTATTTCCATATCATTCTTTCATAATATTGTAATAAAAATTATATATAGGGATTTTGCTTTCATTGAGAACAGTTATACCAATAAAGATAGGTTTACTAAGTCTAGCTTTTGATTGATGACAAGAAATATCTATCAAATTCTTTGCTAAAATTTTATGAGACATGTAACTAGGATCAGCTACTAACTTTTTAAATTTTCTTAATTCTCCTTTTGGTCTAACAAAATCTATTCTTTGATATTTATATACATTTTTAACAATCTTTCCATAGTTGGCATTATCAAGAAGCTTATACATATTTTTTTTCAAAATCATTAGGGACTAAAGTTCAAGATCTTACTAATTCTTCTATAAAAGATTTCATCCATGAACTTTGATCGAACTCTATACCATGATGGATTTTTCTAACTATTATTTTCTGCTTTATATAAAATTTTAATGCTTGATAATATACAATATAATTCTTTTTATCATTGAGATTTGAAACAAGTTTTTTGATTTTAGTATAATATTTTAATTTATTAATAAAATCTTGTTCATTCTTGCTCATTTTTTATTTGAAAATCTCAATATTTTTGGAAGCTAAAGGATATGTAGAATAAGATTTATGTAATTTATATGAATAGTCAAAATTCAAAAAAAAACTCTTTTCTGTACACAACAGATTTTCTAAAAATTTCTTTTTTTGAAAAGTAATAGAACGAAAGTAAAGAAAAGATATCAGGCTACCAATGAAACTTCAAAGCTTCCAATACTTCCCCTATAACAGAATGCATACTGAGATACGAGAGAAGGGCAAGCAAAGATCTAGGTACCCCAAGAGCACAACTATACGCAAAGAAGTCCACTATTGTAGCAACCAAGAAACCTACACAACAACTGCCTAGCACAACCATCAACAACAACTAACAAACAGCAAAAAAAACACTGAGTGTCAATACACAACCAAAAGAAATCCCAAGACAGTCAACAACAGCAACAATCAAACACAGAACATCTCCTGTAATAAAGCCAAGAATCATCAACATCAACATCTTCCTGAAGCAAAATGGTAGAAACACATCTTGCCATATCTAACAATGCAAGCACACAAGTTGACAACCAAGAGTCCAAGACTACTAGCAGCAAACCAGTGTATGCCAGAATTGATGACACTGACAAAGAAATAGAAACTGAATGAAGAAACAACCCAGAGTAGAGATGGTTTACAATTGCAAAAGGCAAAAGCAAAGAAACTGATAACTCCCAAGACAGATGAGACCAAGATTACCATTTGACAGAGCAACCAGATACGGTATAGAACATCACAAGATTGGCATCCCAGCAAATCTAGTTAATGGAAAAACAACACATCAAAAACAGAACATATTATTCTTACCCTCAACTTTCTTGAAGAATTACTCACTGTGCATAGTAAAGGAAAAAAAGAGAACATAAATATCATTGCCATTTTTGCTAATCAACATACAGTAGAACATGTCACAACTATAGTACTCCCAAAAATAAACAACTACAAGCTTGAACACATAAAAACTGAACACCAAGAAATTAACAAGACAAATTTCATTGTAGTATGAGACATCCTCCTGAACACTTATTGAAATGAAACAGATCTTTTTCAAATATGGTCAAATCCAAGGTATCACTATGAAAACCCAAAATTTATGGCAATGTGTTACAATTATATTCAAAGATCCAGAACACAAGGAAAAACTTGTCAATAAC